ACTCGAAACTATATTCTTTCTTCCAAATTATACATTTTCTAATGTTGCACGGAGCCCCCTTGCCTTCACTCTTTGATTTCTTTGATTTTTGGACAATTTGCGCATCGCACCATCAAAATTTGGAAATAAAGGAAGGGCAAACCTTCTTTATTAAACCTAGAGCTAAGAAGTAAACTATGCAATATTTATTTCTGTACATGTAGAGTCGATTTTTTGAGTCAGCTCACGTGATTCTTCTCATTTTAATCATCAATGTATTGCTTAAAAGCACTGTTTTTTTCTGACCAATCGGCAACACAGCCTGTAGAAAGGGATCGTGGGACAGTCAATAATCTTTGTAGGTATTATCTTTGCTATTACAGATTGACTTAGTTCTTTTTCTTCGCAAAAATGATATTTTTATAAGATTAGCTTAAGTAGGAAAACAACGGCACAGTGGGAACATTTGGCAACGCTGTATTCGATCAATTCAGGAAGTTTAAAAAATTGTGCCTTACAAAAAGTAAAGACTAATAAATACGTCATGTTATCCAAATGTCAACAAATTTCATGTGTCAACTGGTCAGATTTGAATTATTTCCCATCTTTCCATACGGACACTGCACTGCGGCGCAGAGATACAACTATTCGTGCTTGATGGATGTCCGTGTTGCAGCTGCATAATTGAAGGCGCGATGGCGCGCGGCGTAATCTCGCAATGGACCACTAGACAAGGTACGAATTTTAGCATTCTGATACATGTTTCTTAACCAAAATTTCACGTAGAACACGATGCGCTCAACGAAAATTACCGAAATCAATACCTTACGAAGATATTTAATTATTCTTAATGCGTGAATTCAAACCATCCGTTCATGAAAACTCAATGCTCTACGTGATTCACATCGAGCGCTAAACGTTATCATGACAGTTTCTGCGATATAAAAATCTGGCAACCTCGATCTTGACGCTTTGGCTCAGCTATAGCAAATTGCTTATAGTTTGAACAACACATGGTGGGAAATGAACATTCCTCGATTGAGAAGCGTCCTGAAACCTGAAACCGTTGTAGTGCGCGATTTGACTCACGTAGAGCTTTGAGTTTCTTGTGAGCGGGCAGTTCAAATTCCTCGTAACCAATGTGTAATAAAAACGTTAATATCTTCGTTAAACGTTTTGGTTTCAGTAATTTTCGTTGTAAGAATCGTGTTTTACGTAAAATTCTGGTTGAGAAACATGTATCGGATTGCTTAAATTCGTACCTTGTCTAGTGGTCCATTCTCCGCTCTATACCGCCAATGAGGTATCGCTCAGATTCGGGTGAAAAGTTAAAAAATGAGACCCGAATATGTGTCTCCTGTCTTCGGCTTTGTTGTCACTCGATTTCTTTTTCCTTTCCTCTTTTTTCAATTTAATGACTTGTATTTGTAGACCTATAGATTAAGCTCGTATCTGTACCGGCACAAAACTTTTCTAGAAGTGGTGGTCGGATCAGTGACACAGCTTGGGATGTTCAAATGTAATTCATCCATTTTACTGATTTTTCCATCATATTTTTCGTTCAATAAATTTGTCGGTCCAAATGCAATTATATGTAATATTGCCCGGTCAACATGCGTTTGTCCATTGCAGTAATTAGTCCAATACAGTAATTAATGTAATACACCAGCACATACAATGCCATTATTTCATCCTTCACCTGCATTGAAATGTACAACAAATGTAACAAATAAACGGGTATAACAAATGTATTCCCACACAATATTGTACAACCTGAGATGTGAAATGGCATACAATTTTATGAAAAATCAGATACTTGTATACTTTGATCCTTGAAATTTCATGAAACATTTGACATTTCTGATTTTTCATCCTCGATATTCTTACGTCAATAAAATTTCATTTACCATCTCTAAGTAGTTACTATACACATCCATAAGACCAGATTCAATTGTTGGGGCAAAAAATTGAGCTACTTGTTCGGGTAGAAAAATTCGAACAAATTTCATTTACCAAATCTCATATTTGATCAAATTTAATATCGGGCAAAAAAGAGTGGATGAATCGTCCCATGCTCCTAGAGTTTTTACTTTACCACTCACAATTAGTCGGTCTTTATTCGTCCACGCAGAATATTATGCAAAAATAAAACTAAAGTAACAACCATTCGTGTCTCCTCAGAGGGATAGAACAAAAAAGGAGCTCTCGAAACCTCAGGGCGTGGATATGTGTTTTTACTTTCACTATCGATACGTCATCGAGAGGTGTATACAGTGATGAACCGAGGGACGTAACAAAGAGGGCAGACACCTGAGGTAAATCATGCCACTGTCTGGGCCCCGACCAGCGCAGCGCACCGCAGCGGTGGCATTCGAAAGTGGGGTAAACGCGGTATGAAAATAGTTGAATAAAAAGTGGGATCCGAGTTATCGTCAGAAAAATATGAATGTTTAATGAAAGAGGGGAAGCGAGGATCAGGGGAGTCGGAAACCGGGAGAATCCGCAGAGACCGGAGCCGCACAGTGGATCGGGTCAATTACAGAGGTCGGACGCGAAATTCTGGACTAAAACTGCAAATTTTTATGTTTATTACGTCACAATTTTTTCAAGGATTGCCTATAGTAGAAAATTTCACGAAGAAACCAATGGAACCAATTTTCGAAACTCAAAGTTTTGTACAAACGGAGTTATACTGCAGTGCTGAGGAAAAACGCCGTATGAACCTTCAAGCGTTGCCAAATTTCTTTTAGTAAATCACGAATTTTCTCAAAAATTCGTAAATGTTTTTTCTCCAATTTTTAAAATATTTTTTTCTCAATTTCACCTAGAGTCCCATAAAATTCAAGGAAAACTATGCACAGCTTCCCTCAAAAATAGACATTTTATCGAAGGAAATTTGACAACTCTCGAATGTTCATGCGGCGCTTTTCCTTAGTACGGTAGTACATACGTACATACATACATAAGAGCCGCTCTCACAGCGCTCTCCGGACACAGAATATGCTAAGAGCAACAGAGATGGATTTCTGGAGGAGGTCAGCAGGAATTTCCAGGAGGGATTGCGTCCGTAATGATAGAGTACGGTGGTATAAGCGTTTAAAGTTTCCAAAATTTGTCCGAGCTCTCCTATTGGCTGGATCCACTGTGAGCCGGGGCCGCAGCCGCAAAGCAGGAGCAGCGATGAGTGGCGTGAATTTTGAATCCTCTCAAGTTTGAACTCATGGATCAATGGAGCTTCGATTCGGGTCTCTGATTGTGACTACTCCCGAGTCAAAACGCTGAATTATAATATTCTCAGATTTTTCCAAGCATCCAGAACCTACCCGCCGACTCTAACCTTCATTTTCCGTACGAATAAAAAGAAATATCTTCCGACTCGCAGTTCGTTTAAAGCAGCCACTTTCTCTCTTGGTTGCATTCGCCATTAGCGTCCTCTTCGACCCCTTCTACCGTTTTTCCGCCCGCGGTTTTCCTTAGCGAAAATATTACGATCTCAATAAGAGTTTGTTCTCTTCTGCCCGACGAAAATGATCTTGTTTTTCATCTCGCTGGAGCTTTACTCTCAATTTGCGCTTTTTCAATCTAATGCCATTAGCATTGAGCTCTATAATCTTATTCTTGCGCCTTTCATCGTATTTTCAAATTTGCAAAATAAGCACTTACAACCTCACGTTTTTATACATGCAATAAACTGTTTTTTTCGAACGCCTGCGCAAACTTTAAGTACATAACTCAAATTTTCAATCGGTATCGGTTTATCAGTCGTGGAATCTCCTACATTATCCTTATCTTCCTTTTTTTCCGATTCTATTTCAATCACGGTTAGTAAAAATTAAAATTAAGGTCTCAAACTAAGTCTATCATACACATATTTAAATGATACCAATTTGAACTAATTCCTATACTTCAGTTCAATGCCATTGAAAGTCATCAAGGACATGGAAAACTACTGAAAGTCATTTTTTGAAAATTCCTGTGATTTTTCTTCTTCATACATAGAATATTTTGTGAAAACTTCAAGCCCAGATTTTGGCTCGGTCTCTTTCAGAAAATACGACAGGAGCGGACATTTTGAAACACTACAACCATGATACGCAATCTTTGCAGTTACACCGTCGATATCATGAATAATTAATCCAAACCTCTTGACAGTTGAAGAAGTCTAGAGATAAACCCTTAGTCTCCTAAATAAAGCAAAGAAATTCTTGAATATAAGTTACGGCTTCTGCAAGTTTTTTAGATCTGCTCTGTTAACCCAGTTGTATTTAATGGAACAATACACTCAATTTCTCTATCAAGTGTCATTCCGTGCCTCTCAGACCTGCCTGCATGGGCACTAGAATGAAGGATAGAATCCCAAAATTCTAGGTTTGAAAAAGATTTGGAAAAGATGAAGGATACTGGATAGCATTGAAAAAAGAACCATATGAATAATTGAAGGAAAACCCACGATGTTAATTCATTTTTGCTAAAAACCGTCTGATAGGGGCGTGATACCGCAACGTGAAAGCATTTAATGGAACGTTCTCTCAATCATAAAATGTGTAATTATTCGCCATGTTTTTCCCTCTCGTGGAAAAATAACAAATGTCATTTCTTGGAGGAATGCATATCCATAATAGGCCGGGAAGTGTTTTTTTGAGTATTCATTTTTCCTAAGTCATTTGCCTGCCGACTCCCTTTTGTGTGACTGCGCTCCGTGGATGAGGAGATAAGAGCATGAATTTAACGCCCCTGAAAAAGCTCATTAAAAGTCTTGACTGGGATTATTCTGCATGCCTAACAATGATCCATCATTGGAAAATGTAATTAGATAAAGAAGAAGATTGTTTTTTCTTCGTATTCTTCTTTTACTTATCGTGCACAAAGAAATCAATGTTCCGTCTTCTCTATTACACCATTATAGGGAAATATCGTTTCAGAGATACTATTGAATATGTTCAGCTGAACATTTTTTTACGTAAAATCGATTTTCTTCCTTGGAAATTCACTAAAGTGTATGTGATTCCTGTTCTTTTTAGATTGTGTTTCACGATCGGCTGAGCCGTCTATCAATGTGAGGAGATTTCGATATTGTCTTCCTCGGTAAGTTATTGCATCGAACATATTTTATCAAATAATATCAAAAAATAATTTTCAAACCGAAAATGATTATGCGAATTAGCGGACGAAGATTTTGGCGTGAGCGATTGAGCGGCTACATTGATCAAGTTTCATATATTGTGATTTACTCTCCATTTTGCATGGCTTTAACGCTTAATTTTTTGTAAAGATATTCTGTAATAATTGGTCTGTATACTGACATTTCGGTTTATCAAAAAGTACTCAAAATTGCTGAAGTCTACATCATATTGAATATTGGACCGCGTCAAGCAGAAAGGAACCTAGCCATACATCAGCTATTGCCAAATTTAATTGGGCAATTTAATTTTTTACATGAAAATGGTTGTGCATATTTTTTTGCTTACAGTAAATTTTCGGTATATCACGAAACAAAGTCCTGAGCATTTTTCAAAGGAATCCGCACATACGGTCTCTTGTAGAAAATCAAATTGCCCACTCAAATTTGACAAAAGCTGATGTGACTTGGTTTCTTTCTGCTAAACGCGGTCCAATTATTGATGGTGGTAACAATACGTGGAGCTCAAACCTAAATTAATTATTTAATTTAATTTCGCATGAAAATTCTGAGCGTAAGGAATTTCATTTTGAGAGTGTTGGCAACGCTTCGGAGTATTTTGAGGTCAGATCTGAGCCTCATAAATTGTTTTTATAAGTGTCTCTTAAAGTCCCCTTCTTTGGAGCCTGAATGAAAAATGTACGCGTGCAAAAAACTGGAGGGAGAAAGTAAAGTTAACTTAATGAACTTGGGTAAGACTTTTATCACGAGGAGGGTGTGCGCCGAGACTCTTCTTCTCACCTTTCCTCGCGGGCCTCACCCGTGAGTCTTCGCGCCTGTCTTCTCCTCGTCGCGGTTTTTCATAACGTAAGACGTATAATTTAAGTTTGTCGTTTGCGATTAGATTTGGATGAAAAATTCGCCGCTAAGTTGCCGCCGTAAAGTTGACTTCATCCCGGCAACTCACTTTCTTCACCTTATTACTTTTAACAATGTTCCCTTTATCTTGTTTTTACTTTCGTCCGTGTTGTTAATTCTTTGCTTTAATGTCTTTTTTGTCTCACAAAAGCCGGCCTGAGTTGGTTGATTGTTGAAATTGATAGGCGAAGCTTTGGACAAATAAGACAAAAGGGATGGAGGGATTGGTGGAAGCGGGTGGTTGTAATGAACTAAAGAGGTAGGTAATAGACTAACTAACAACAACCTGGGTGAGACCCTACAGTTCGTCCATCATTTATCCCCTCAGTCTATAAGAACCACCCGTTCAACCAATAGGATCGCTCCATACTCCCGTGTCTTCTTTGTCTATCGCTTTGTGTATCAATTTCAACAGTCAGACCGCTGTTTGAAGTCTACGTAAATAAGACTTCATTCGCACGGGTTGTTGTCATAGTTTGTGAGCGCCTCTTTACCAATGCAATGCGATACATTGGTTACACATGCTGCGAAATTGGTTTTACAGACGAACTTAGACAAAAAACCGTAGCCGCATGTCAATGCCCCAAAATACTCTTCGAAAATTGTAGTTTTACATTGGGCGTTTTCTAATTTTAAATTTCACTGGTTTTCCTATGATTACATGCAAAAATACACAAAATTTTGCACAGAAATCACAGTTATATCTTGTGAAGTTTAAATTGTTAAAGTTAATTTTGCAACCTCGGAATTAAGTTACATTTTTTTGCCGGGAAAACGACAAATTTTAAATCTCATGGATTTGCAAATCCTCATGGAGAATCAAAATTCGTTCTAGAATAATTTTCCCTCAAAAGGTGTGCGCTAAAATAATACTGCTCTATACCAACAGAATTCCAGGTTTACACTGACTTTAATGCAGAAAGATCAAATCACCATCTCTGCCTGAAAAAGTATTCAAAGGGTTTTTAGACCGTTTCATTTACTTGCAAATGTGGTTATGGAAAATTCGGAGCACTTGCAAAGAGTGTTCCTCACTCTTTCTTTTAAAATCTGAAGGGCCTCTATGGGCTCATCGGGAGAAGCTCAAAAGTTTATATACATAGTAGTGTACAGCATTTGAAGTACTTTTTGAGGAATCAGTCAGTGGATTCTCAAGCATGGATTTTTTACAATGCGATCGAGATAATCTCATTTGAGGAGAACCACCATTTTTTTGTAAAAAAAAAACCATGCCTAAGAAACCACTGGCTGATTCCTCAAAAAAATACTGCAATTATACTAATTGACGGCCAAAACATATCTTCGTAGTGTATAGTATATAGAAAAATGTACACTATGGCAGCCCGAAAACATAGGTATAAAATAGAATGTGTACACAGTAAATAGTAGCACAATAGTTTATAAATGATAGTAGTATAAAATTTGTCTTTAAAACAGTCTTCTATATTATGATACCGGATAGAGCCGAAAGACGCGAGAGCTAACCAGGTCCGTCCTCGGCTACAAAATAACTGTGCCCAACTTCGCCTGTTGAAGGATGATAATGAGTCCGATGAATAAGTAACTTGGAAACTTCTCCATTGGAGCGTGCCACATGGCGGCACCGCGCTTATGTCCTGGAGTCAATTTCATTTTAAAACACAAGAGCGCGCGCCATTGAACCATCACTATCCATTTTAATATTTTCCTTGAAATTTTGATAACTCCGCTTCCCGCTTCAGTTTAAATCCAAAGTTTCCCAACTGAACTGAGGTGTGTAAACATCGCACTTATGCCAATATTTGCACTCAAGCTTGTGAATATTTACACTGTCTGTATTGAATTTGCCCGTAATGAGCTTGATTCAGTATGAAATCGAGGATTAGCCGCCCTAATTTGACCGCCGATCCTCCCCGCTTCCGCAAATAAAGTTTTTCTGATGATTTCTAATTCAACACTGAATTCATTGCCCTTCCCTTGAACAAGGACCGATGCGGACTAACTGAGGAAAGGATAATCTATAGAACTGGTGCATAGCCAATATAATGAGACTGAGCTTATTTTTCAATGCAAGAGAAAGGATGAATTCAAATTTTCTCGTCACTCAAACTTCGTGGAAAATGTTCAAATATTAAAAAAGAAGATGAGAGAAACACATTAACACGCACTTCGAGGGTCGGTAAAGATAATTTCAACGACTTTACTGGAAAGAATCAAATGGGTGTTCTGTTAAGTTCACACGAAAAGTAAGTTGACTGACTTTTCGAGTGAAACAGAACCTCCGTCATCTTAATGCATACCTATAGTTTAATGGAGGAATTGAGAATGTAGCAAAGTGGTTCCTAAAGCTTAATGTTAATGAGGTTAAAATTTGCTTAAACAGACGGAACCCATCAAAGGGAGCAATTATTTTTCAAATTGAGAAAATAATTTAAAGAGGAGGAAATAGAACACACGTCGTGGAATAATAGCTCAGAAGATATAAATTACAATAAAAACAGCTTAAGACAATAACTACCTTCTTTTTGTAATGAGATCATTTTTTACCAGTTGATTTTTTCTAAATAGGACAATAATGCGCAACATTTTTGTGGGATTAATGTATGCTGTATAGAAATACGACATCACACCATTGTTGCATTATTGTAAGAAGTAATCAGTCAGGATGGATTCATAAAATCTATTCTATTGGACGCGAGAAGATCTCTCCAGACTAATAATATTACGTAAAAATGTCAAGTGAATCAGTGAAAACGAAAACACACCGACTCGGTTACTCAAAAATGCTCAATTTTCATTAAAAAGAGTCAGTTTTCATAAAGGTCATTGAAGTTAACGCATCTGTTCCAACTTGGACCTTTAAAGTATCCTTAAGTACTTATTTTTCGACACCAAAAATCTTTTCCTTGTGCTAACTTCTTCACCTATTGTGCATATTTGCAAGTATCTTGGTAATTTTAATTTTTTCGAGTTGGTGTGTTTTCGTTCTCACTGATTCAAGTATCAATGAAGACAAAATATTTCCCAAACTTGTTTTAATTATCAAATATTCAGCTATGCCACTGACGGATTTTAGACATTTTTAAGTGAGGTCAATAATAGACCAATGAACCGAGGAGGGGGGGGGCATAAAGTTCCGAGTATCAGGTAGTTTTACCGAATCGTGGCAGTCGGGACCAAGAATCTCGGCTCTATTTGCCAAGCTTTTTGGGGTGCGAATATTCTCGTAAGAATTTTCATCGTGTAGACGTAAAATTTAGGTGAATCCTAACGACGTTCTGGCGTCGAAGAGCGCAGTTCATTTTATTACCGTAAATGCGAACGTGCATTATAGCTGAATCTCCAGACTCAGCGATATGACGACTGAAGAACGGCGGCAAGGCTCGAATGCAGCAGGTGTAATATTCAACGACAGCTACTGTGCAAGCGGCACGATCGTTGGACGTTGCTCAACGTAAGTTTAATCCCATCCGGACGCCGAACATGAAGCGAGCGTCCCGGCCGGCGCTAGCAGGTGGGGAAAGGGGGGGATTGGGAGGATTTTGAAGGGCTGCGGTCGGACAGGGATACGGAGTAGGTATTTAAACGATAAACTAATACCGGCCGGAAAGGCGTAAAACAAACATTGTCTGGATCTGATAATGCTCTAATTGTAGTCGGTTTAGCACACTTTATTTTCGCTTGGAAAACATTTTTTAAGCGGCTTAAACCTTGAGCACGAACAACATCTGTGTCGGGTTCACTCCGGGCACAAGGGCTCTTCGATGAGGCACGAGATCGGCTTCGAGGAGGAGAAGGAGGAGGAAGAGAGAGAAAGAAGTACGACTGGAAAGAGGACAAACAAGAATGAAATACGAAGAGCAGGGCTCGTGGAAAAACTTGCCCTCTCCTCTCACTTGCGAAAACTCCTTGTATCATACTTCCTCTTAGATTTTGCACCATAGTTTGTTTTATGCACTTAGCGTAAATCTCAGCCGGATAATTTGTATGAAAGCGGCCTTTGGCTTCCAATCTCCGATATTATCACACAGACTACCTGAAATAAAATGATCCGTTTAAACCTCATACT